TTAAATTTCCTATTATATTTTTGAAAACAAAAACAAACATATCTTTCAACCTTCAATAATCAAATAACAATTTCTGTTTAAAGCAGGAATTTGTAAAAGCCTCAAATCAAAACTCATATGTATTTAACTCTCTTTGATCTTCTCCTAGTTTGAACAGTGGACTTTGAGGTATCACCTGCGTCACTATGATTTTTACTATGTTCTTCCATTCCTCTTTTAAGGGTTTGGCTTGTTTTACCCTTACTGTATTTCACTAGCTCTTCATTATTCAGTGGGGATTTCAACTGCTCCTGAATCCTTCGAACATTCTTTTGTATTTCTATACATTGTTTTCCCATGAAAAAGTGATGCTGATTTAATGTTGCTAACAGATAAAACTCTTCACCACATCTTTCACAGCGTATGAGTTTATTTGAAAAATGCTGTCCTTGATGATCCTCAACTTCCAATAGATGTTTAAACTCCTTTGGACAGTGCAGACATGGGTACCGTATGTGGCTGGTCATGTGGTTTTCATACCCTTTAGTGGTGGCAAAAGTTTTCTTGCAAACTTTACATTGAAGTGAAATCCAGTGGTAATTCTTTTGATGGCGATTGAAAGACTCTCTAGTATATCCAACGATACTATAGCAGATGCCACACCCATATGCCATACTCTTCATCGGAGGGCTATCATCAAGATCTGTTCCATAGCCAATAGGACCTTCAAACAACTGGCTATTGTCTTCATTTTCTGATTCTGCTTTACAGGGGTCATCTTTGAAAACATTGTTGTTTAGTTCAGTTAGCTCTAGTGGGTTGTTTTCAGAATTTATGCTTTCTGTACCCAAAGGAACTCCACTACTTGAGCTATCTTCAGAAACCGAGATTTCAACCACTTTAGACATTTCTGCAAAATCTTCCTTACGATGTAGAATTTCCATTTTTGTTTGCTCTTCTGTAGAATCAAAGGCCTCATGCTTAATGGGCATATAAATTTCTTTAAGAGCTTCTGTGCAAATTTCATTAGCGACTAGAATTTCTTTTTCTCCTAGCTCTCTCTGAATCATGACTTTTGTCGACAAATTTTCAGCAGAATTACACTTTAAGCTGAACATTTTTTCTGAAAGAGCAGAAGTATCTCCTATACAGTTATCAGTCTTTGATGCAATGTATGTACTTTCCTCTGTATCAGGTGAATGGTTCTGTGGAGAGGGGGTGGCTGCTGATGGTTCATTATCATTGGTGACATCCGCTTTATTTGAGTGAACTTTTGCAGAAGTCACTTCTGTTTGTTCATCACTTTCGATACTGTTGTGTGCAGAGACATTTTCGATATTTCCTGATGAAGGTAATGGACTAGGACAAATCTCTTGTACTACTGTGGAGTCGGTCCCAGTAGAAGTGTCATTGTTTCCTTGTTCTTCTCCTTCTTCTGATTTCATCTCAGAGGAAGAGGAAGACGTCAAACAAGGGACATCTTCGGGCAAATCAAGCAGATTCTCGTGACTTTCAACAACAGTTTTAGTTTCTACACATGACGACATCATGTCAGAGGCAAGTCTTGATGGTCTGCTTTCGTTGTCACTAGGGTCAACGACGGTTGAGGAAGTTGGTTCATCGTCGGGCACCGTTGGGTTAACTACACAAATCTGCTTCTTCACACAGTCCTCTTCACTTCCCATTTTTGCTTAGGGGTCGCATCAAGCAAAGTATTTTTCAGTACACAAAAGCACAGGCAAAATGTTTGGACAAGTCGTAGCACGTCGATGTTGAGACGGATGAATCAATCAGAACATGGTGTGGTGGTGGTGGTGGCGGAAGCGGAAGAGATGCAAGAGGCCAGGGGAGTGGAGGGGAGGGGGCGTGGTACGGCGTTTGTCAAAGTCCCCTGCTGTGCGTCAGTTTGCAGAATTGGTGTACTGCCATAAAAATAGCGACCGGATTGAAAAACCTTTGCACTGTTAGGTAGGTAACGCTGCGGTGCGCGATTTGTTCGTCGCGTTGTAGGCGTGGGGTAGCGCCGTTGGTGCTTGTAGCGTTTGGCCACAAAGTAGAAGGGAGCAGGGCAGGACCCGCTCTGCTTTGTATGCAGTACGTGGCATGGAGCCAAATGTCTTTCATTGCCCTACCATGGGCCGGCCCGGCCCCGTCTGTGGGCCCGTCCATAGATATAGTGGCCCGTCGGTTCCCGCGCGTGGGGTATTGACCGGGAAGGAAACGGGGCGTATATTTTAGCCGCACTCCTAATCAGGAGGCGATTCGTGCGGCTGTCGTAGATACCCCGCACACGAAGTGGCACTCCGCAGAACGAAATCGCAGGGTAATGCTACCCCTCCCCCCAACGCCCCATTCTCAAGCCCATTCCTTATTCCCCTGGAAGAAAAATGGAGCGGGAGCAACGGGATTCTTTTCTTCTCCGCCTAGCCTCCCTGCCTCCCTGCCCTGCGCCATGCGGGCTCGGTCTGCAGGTAGGGGCTGTAGGGGCGGCCTCCCCTGGCCTTGGCCTTGTGTCGTCTGTCTGTTGGGTCAGCGAGGCGGCGCCCTTTTGCTAAACGGCGCATCGGTGCGCCCCCTGTCCCTTCACTGACGAAAAGTGAAAAGGGCGTAAGTCCACGGACTTTTCATTGGACTTACGCGCCTTTCACTTTTCACCAGTGCTTTCTTCCTGGCACTTTCTCTGCCCGCGGGATCATGGCAGGGTCTGAGGATGTTTTCGACGAACCGAGCCGAGCCGGCCGAGTGGCAGGCTAGACGAGAATGAGGACGGTGTCGATGTGTATCGCATGCTGAAGTGGAGCACCCTTCCCCTCCCCAGAGCCTCAGACCTGCGGCCCTCGATAGGGGTGCCGCCGCCCCTCACCCGCCAGCACAACCCCGCAACTGCTCCGGTTGGAAGTTCCACCGCGCCGCCGTGCCACCCGCAAACTGCGCAGTCTGGAGTCGGGAGACCTAGGTACTCGAGACGAGATCGCAGGGACGACTCTCGCCTTTTGAGTCAATCAAAGACCTCTGAAACCATACATAGAAATCAGTTTTGGATGGCTTTTACCTCGACCTTGGCCAAGGTCACCCTTTTGTGCGGTCTGGATTGGTACGCGCAAAAATACACGCTCTGCTATTCAGAGCGTGGCGTGTGTTCGATCCATTGGTTATACTGGCTGAATTCCCCTTTTTGCCGTCTACTGATTGCGAGCTAGCTCCACGACGTAGTGTGTTCCTTGCTGCCTCCGGCTGCCTCCTCCGCCCCGAGGCTCCTCCGTGTGCCCTCCGGGGGCCTCCGGGCCCTCATTAGGGCTCATCACTCCCCGAGCCCCCGCGGGGCACACCAGCCGGAGGGCGCCGAGGTCACCGGAGGGCACCGGAGGTCACCGGAGGTGCTGGAGAGGGCTGCGCGGGGCGGGGCCCATCGAGAGTCCATCACGGACCTAAGGTCGTATTCGACGAGGGAGGCGTGGCGGGCGCAGGCGTTTAATTCCAGCGTCCTTCGGTCCCGAGCAGGGATGAGAACCGACTGAATGACTTGGCCGCTCGCTGATACCGCTTTCGGGTCCTCGACGCCTTCGCCCTCGACTGCCGCTGCTACTCCCCCCACCTCTCCCCTCCTCGACGTTAACGTCCCGCCCAAGCCCCACCCGCCCCAACCGGCTTAATTTCACAAAGGACGCCGCGCGAGTGATGCAATTTCTGGCCGAACCCCTGATGTCATTCCGCGACAGAGACAGAGGGCGAGAGCCGGCGAGAGCCGGCGAGAGCGGGGTCCGCGGCACAGCGCGTGAGAAGACTCGGGTCGCAGTCGGAGCCGGCGGTCTCCCCGCCGCCGAGAAACAGGAAACAGGTGCCCCGCGCACGCGGCCCCAGCAGCCCCCCAGGGCTGCCGCTGGTGACGGCTTTTGAAGTGCACCCCCCCCCCCTTCTACCCCGCCAACCCCGCTGTCCGTTTATCTCGCAGGGTCCTGTGGCGCCTCGTCCCGCACGCCCAGCCCCCGCCCTTCCCCCGCGGGGACCGCAGCCGAGCCGCAGCCGCGCCGCAACGGAGCGGAGAGGGGCGCGGCTTGTTGACAATTGACAGAGAAATTAGTGCGCAGTGCGGGGCGTGGCGTGGCGTGGCGTGGCGTGGCGGGGCGTGGGAGGGTGTAGCGGGGAGGACGGAGTCTGTATCTCCATCCATCTTGAGCGCGTTAGGCCCCACCGCACCGCTGGGGTAGGGGCCCGGCCCCCGGCCCCGGGGGCAAACCGGTCCCAGACGAAAGAGAAATGACGGGGAGCAGCAGGGGGTGGGGGCAGGGAGGCGCGAGGCTAATGGAGGGGGAGGGGGGAGGGGCAAGCGGGGCGGCGGTGGGCTTGGTTTGGGACACTTGGGCCCCTCGGGTCGATTGTCCTGCACCTGCCCCCTCCGCGGGCCCCCTGCCCCCACCCAGCAGCGGCAGCGGCCCGCAGCGGCGAGCGCGGAGGTTGTTGGGCTTATTTATTCTGGAATGGTTTTGGCCGGCGCGCCATGCCGCGGGGGCGCTGCGTGCGTCTCGAGCCGTCGGCTATAAGTCTCGACAGAAATCTAAAGCCTGCTTTCAAAAGGGGCACCGTCTGAGTGGCGGGCGTTGTACGTGGCCGTGGACGGCTGTAGGCTAAGGGTAAGGGTTGAAGCTGCTCGCCAAGGGATCATTCAGAAAGTACGTTTACCATTCGCCGTCGCGAACCTGCAAAATTCAGCCATTACATCTCTCATAGCGCCTGATGGGTAGGCAACATCTCGCATGCAGTGCATGCGAGTACTGCGGGATGGCCTACCCCGAGCCTCGCAGGC